TATATATATATATATATATACTGTATATATATATATATATAAAATCTAAATTTGAATTAAGATTATTTTTCTTGCCCCATTTTATAATTTTTTTTAGCAAAAACTGCAATTTTGATACATTTTTCAGCAAACAAGACTTAATATCTTAAGTCATTTTGCTTCCTAAGTAGCTGTATCTTTTAGATATTTGTACTATAATTTGTGGTTAAATTGATGCTTGTCCCGGGTGTAAAATTAAATTCCAACAAACTTTAATGGTCATCTTGATTTAAAACCATTTTATAAAAATTTTTTTTGCATTTCAAGGCAGAAGATTACAAAATAATAAATCAAATATTTTCCCAGCTTATTACTGCTGTTGGCCTATTTATCTCCAGCTGTCTTTTGTGAAAAGGAAATGCTTTTTCATCATTAATCCATTGGGATTGTCACTGTAATATAGTCAGTCACCTTTATACCTCATCCTCCTCACTGTGGCAAAGGGAAAGGTTGCTGTGTCGACTCTGACTGGAAATTACATAACCTTGCAACATGACAGAATCACACACATCAAACACAGAACGTCAGGGAGGTGGGAGATCTGGGAAAAGGGGACTGGATGCCGGATCTGGAAAAACAAAGTCACAGGCAAGTCTGTTGAGCCACAGAAACACAATACACACACGGCACAGCAACATGGGAGATCAAAAGATGAGACGTGAGCTTAATGGGCTGAATGAACAATTCTCTGGAACGAAAGATTTGATTCAGAAATCCCTCGAGGCCAGGAAATTTGCATACTGCCCCTACAGCAAGTTCCGAGTCGGGGCGGCACTTCTGACACATGACGGGATGGTTTTCACAGGTGAGGCAATGCCTGAAATGCACTGTAAAGGTACCAATATCAGAGAGTTTCAGCAGTCAGTTCCCAGTGCTGGTTGGGTAAGAAACATCAACTGCTGTAACGAGCGTTTACGCACTCAGAACTGAATGATAAATAATGTATGAAGGCTGAACTCTAATGTGTGCTCAATTTGTTGCCACTCTGAGAGCAAAGATGTTGGCATATTCACATAAAAGCTTGTTAAACCACTACATGGCAACAGAAGGAAGACTAATAGCAGGTAACACCTCTGACACGTAAATGAGACTCAACACACACACTTTATGAGTGCTTATTTCATGGCTCTCGTGAAATTCTGTGGTCAAATATTGCCTGATCTTTGCCGTCTTTATTGGCAATGCTGTATTTCAATCCACTCATCCGGGTAACTGAAACCGGTGCTATTTTCACATCTCTAATATCACACTGACTGCAGATTCTCCCTCTCTTTTCATTCAAACATCTTGCACCTCAACTATCGACTGTAGTAAAAATGCGCTCAGATTACATTAATAGGTCATTACTAAAATATTGTTGCAATGTTCATCTTGTTGCTAGACCAATTGTTTTGTATATTTTAATGAATTATTTTCTCTTAGTGGAAGCGTTAAGATAATATACAAGTAAAATGATCCTTAATGTCATGTCTACGTCTGGGGTTCTGATGATTTTTTTGTGACAATATGGAGCCCCTAAAGTATAAAGGGACATAGAGATGAGAAAAAAATTAGATGAAAGGAAAAATTACATTTCAAATGCTTTTGAAACTTTTACTAGAGAACGCAAAAGCTTTACAATCCCCTGAGAAACTTTGAGTTTGCTCTTAAAATCTTTAGTAATGTAAACAATAAGAGGTGGATGAAAAAAAACAGTTTTGATTGTGAGCATATGCAGTTTCCCAGGGGAACACAAAACTTTTGCATTCGCTCTCTCTCTCTCTCCATTTGTAAATATATATTTTAAAACATACAACACACACACACACACACACACACATATATATATATACATTTGTTTTGTAAATATATTAATATAAAAAAAAATTCTACCAATTTATGTTTTGGCCATGTTTTTTTTTTAAATGTATTTTACAAAATGTAAAAATATATATGTATTAATTTTTAAAAATATTATGACCTCCATATATTGAATATAGTGTTTATAGTATGCATATAGTGAAATACATTCACGCCATATGCCCCTGAAATATATTTTAGGATATGAAGATTAAAAGTACATTTATTTTCAATTTCATAACTACTTTTCATTGAGCTTCACTGTTTACAACATATATTTAAAATATAAACTAGTCAGCATTTGAAGTGGATCAAAACCTTCAATCAAAGTTGTCTTAAAGGGGTCATATGATGTTGCTAAAATGAACATTATTTGGTGTATTTGGTGTAATGAAATGTGTTTATGCAGTTTAAGGTGAAAAAAAATTAATACAATTAAATTAATTACTGTACATTATTGTTTCTCCTCTATGACCCACCTTTCTGAAACGCGTCAGTCTGAAAAGCGAGGTGTGCTCTGATTGGTCAGCTATCCAGTGCGTTGTGATTGGCCGAATACCTCAAGCGTGTGACGAAAATGTTACCATACTGTGATGCCGTGTCCCGGAGCGACGAGACAAAAACATTAAAACTCATTATAAATGAGGCATTTGTTGCATCCAGTGGGGACATAATAACTGATTATAATGACTTATACTGTCTTTTTACACGTTGCGTTGCATCAAGCCACGTAAACATAAAACCATGTCTGCGTTTGTGATCGGAGGAACGACAAACAAGCGCTACTCTACACTGCTCAAAACTCGCGTTTGAATCGTCAGTGGCAAATCCTTTAAATGTGAAAACGTACTTACAGTCTGTGAGTCAGAACAGCCGGCATTGCTTAATTTACCACAGTATTTCATATCAATTAAACAAGCAGCATGTTACAAGCAGCATGTTATATGTTACTTTTGTTTTCACCTATACAGTTTGGTGCAAACTGGGACGTGTATTTGTCAAAACCTGACGGTTCCTATGTGGAGATGACTGTCGAAGAACTGCTGCCTGCATCTTTTGGTCCAGAAGACTTAGAAATGAAGAAAGTGAATATTCGGAACGAGTTTTGAAGCACTGACTCTAGAAAGACTTTGTACCTAGTAGTTTTGGTAGCTTGTAGATAGAAAAAGGTTTATGTGGATTAATGATGTTGTTTAATGTGACTAAAGGAATGTCGTATGTAAATTATGTTAAAAAAGATTTGAATAATTTTTTAATAAAAACAAAGTCAACGCAGTTATAAATATAAGTGAACACATGTCGCTACAGTACAAACTTTATTATTTTTAAACAATGTACATAAATCAACCACAAAAAGTGCAACATAAAAATAATGTCATTTTCCTAAAAGAAAATGGCAACTGATGATCTAGAGACATTCTTAACCTTAAATTTTAGTGATAATTCTAATGCCGTTAGAACTTCTATTTAAATATTACGTTTATTAATCAAAGAATCCTAAGCAAGTCGTCAAAGTGCAAAACATGAAACAAATGACGTTAAAGAAAGTATGGGCTTTAAGGAAAGGCAGCGCATGCACAAATGGCAGTAAAATCTTAGTATCTTCTCAAGTCTTCAAAACGTGATTTTTCATGCAGCAAGGTTTAGTAAATTTGTAGTTGGACTTTTTGCATAAAGAGAGAAGGATGATTAAACCTTTTCCACACACTCTCTTTTTCAAATTTCTATCATCCACATAGTGACTCTAACTGGAAAAAAGGCAGAACGGTAATCTCAATACGAGTTGCTTCTGAAATCTGGCCCGTTGCTTGAATTCACAGGACCCTGGATGATATTATAAAGGTGGACTGTAGCTGCCACCTTCCCAGCAGTGTAAAGACACGATAGCCCTGCCGGAAGCTACACAGAGAGGCTTTATCTGGGCACTGGCATCCATACAGTAATGAAACAACCATACTAACAAAAAGACAGTGTACTTTACAGATGGAGTTTTGCCCCTAAAAGCAGCCGACGAGCACATGGTGCTCTAACGAAAACCTCTACTTATCACCAGTGCGTTTTACAGAATAACTTAATATCTTTTAAGTAACCAAGTAATTTGGATCGAAAAGATGTTGAGAATTCAACACTTTTCACGTCACTAAAGCACGCCTCCTGCAATGGGCCTGAGGACAAAGAAGAGTCTTATTTCTGTGGCGTTATGGTGTCCAGACCAGGCCAGGCTGGAACATAGTGCCGTGGTAGAGTTCCCTCCATAAGCCGCTCCATCCACAGACTCAGTCGGTCCAGTTTGTGGTGGATCTCCAGAGTGGTGGCCTTCTGTCGGGAACTTGACCGGGACCTCGTGGCTTTGCTTGGACCGGCCGTCGCCGCATCCTCGTCAGACCACCTACTACATTCGGCTTCCTCCCCTGTGAACACGGGTCTGAATATGCAGAAGTATTTCTTGTGGCCATTGAGCGCCAGGACATGGCCCGTGTAGTCTGATTTGTTGGAGGTGAAGTCTTCCTCTTCGTCCAAGCAGTCTGACGGTCTGGCGTCAGGAGCCGACTCCATGAGGGAATCCATCCATTGGCTGTGCTTGTCCACATTTAAAAAGGAGTAGTGAAGAGTCTGAGACCTGCGGGAGGAAGTAAGGATAGTTTCCTTTGGATTTATTTGTAGCACGATTTAAGTTGAAAGCAAAGATGCTCAATACAGCTTCTGGAGACGTGCTTTCTTTCAGTGTTTAATTCCAGTAATGTAATGCTACTTTCCAGATTTGGAAATGGGAACAAAATGGACATTCGATATTCAAATGATGCTCCATTGTTTTTCCAAGTGGTAGTGAGAGAATAGCAGTTTGAGTTGTCTGGAAAGCACCACGACTGGAAATCAGAACTCGGCAACTTTTTTACTTGTAAATGACCTCTGGAACGCTATTCAAGTTCAGACTCCCGACCCCTAGTGTAAAAATAAAGCAATAAGCCCCAAGAAGCTGTGGTTTACAGTGAATTTATAACAGCTAAGGAGGCGCTGGGAGTGCCTAAAATCCCCTTAGCTGTTATAAATTCACTGTAAACCACAGCTTCACGGGGCTTATTGCTTTTATAAAACGGTTATTCCATTCACGTATAAAGGTTTCACAAAATAAAACGAAGCAAATAAAATGTAATATTAATAAAATCATTCTTCCGCCAAACAATGTACAGTAGTTCCTCAAAAACACACAGATGCAGAAACAAAGAGGTGTATGTTTGTAGAGTAATTTACAACATCTTCGAACGTGGCTCAACCAATCAGAATCAAGGACAGGTACTTCCTGTTTTATAAGCTTTGTTTGACATTCTATTCAAACAAAGTTCCATTGGGTGTTCCCAGTGGAGGTGGAAGAATTCTGGGTTGAGTTGTTTGGAATTAACATTTTTATGTCAAAAAAAAAAATTTAAATGTCAAAAATTTTGATTTTGTCTGGAATGCATAAATACATTACTAGGGTTTACGGTTGAGGTCTGCAATCAGTATTGTGAGATCTGTTTTGAACAGTTTTGAATTGCTGAGTGCAGGAGATAAGATATCGATGTGTGCGAGCGAAGCGTAAAAAATAAATGACTAGCCGGCTCCTGCAACATATAAATATCTAAAAATATAATAAAAAGTTACTCAAATTTATTTCAGGTTTTAAAGTACAGAATGTTATTTTGTGTTATTTGTCCATTCAGCAACTAATATAAACCATTTACAGGCGATTGCACATTGCAAGGACTTGGGGCTTACGAAAGTAATTCACCTTTTAATTGTGCACATGTTGACCAATTAGAAGTTTGGAATAATGGGTCCCGTTGTGCTTTTTTGAAATCCAAATGATTTCAAATGAACCCAGGCTGCATTTCCTAAAAGCACTGGAAGCCCATGTAGATCATTGAAACCTTTGGAGCCAATGTTCTCTAGGACCTACTGAGATCTACTTACAACTACTATCGCAGATTTGGAAAATGTCTACATAGCATCTTTGACTTTGGTTCAGTTGCCTAAAGCTTCATGGAAGATGATGAAAGCTTGCATTGATTTGCATGTGTGCTAAGCTTCAAGTGGCCTTCTAAGTTGGGAAGTTTTGAGTTAAATGGTTGACAGCCTAAACTCTGTAAGAAGGTTGATCTCCAGAAACCGGTTTTAGCATTCTCTCAAACACATACGCAGGCCTCACCCTGAGAACGAATACACTTCTTTGGCAAACTTCCTGAGCAGTACTTGCTTAGAAGCATCAGTGAGGATCAGCACAACGTTGATGTGACCAGGCTTTAACCTGACTAGGTTACTCATGTATGTGATGTCCGTCAGCTCCGTTACCTCCACAAAATTCTTCTTTGGTGGACGACTGTAACAAGAAACCAGCTGTTAGCGATTCAGCTAATGAACATCTAAACACATCTGTGATCTCAAAATCTCTATTTGACACGCTGTTATTATATTTTATTCTCAAGCAGTGTCTTACCTTGAAGTGCTTTCTTGTCCTGGAGAGCTCTCTGCTGTCTTTGGTGGATCAGTGGCCTTTTGTTTGGCTGGTTTGTCTTCCCCAGCATCGCTGTTCGTTCAATCAATCAATCAATCAATAAACAAAAACCTCTCCTTACAAAAGCACTTTTATATAACAAAATCTGTTCTACCTGAAGGCCTGAATGATTACAGTCCCGAACAGAATGAAAAGAGCGGAGAAGATCAGAGACAGTACGGGCATCATCTCACGCCTGGGGGAAGCAGAACATGACATAACAGGGTGCTCTTAAGTTTGTCATTTATAAAAAGAAACTGTAGGGCTGCTAATCAGTAAATCAAAAAATAAACCTGAAAACAGACATCGACAAATGTCATTATCATTTAGTCTGATATTATTTGTTGTCAATCCCATTTAAAACATTTTGCACACAATGTACAGCTTTGGCACTTTTTCAGCCTCTTTTATAATCTTTATAGTCTATTGCAGATATTTTAATATTATACAACAGAGCTGCTGAATGCTTTGTCTGTAAACGCACATACATACAGCACAGACACACACACACTTGCAAAAAAATGTTGTCTGATGATTTTATCAGCTTGAAAGCTACATGACAATTCTCACTAGCGAGGAGGTAACAACGGCACTGTTCTTGAAGCAGATGAACTTACAGTTTCACTATTAGTAGAGACGCTGCTGCCGAACACAGTTGAGAGACGCACAGACTCAGGGAATTCACACACGCTTTAATATCTCTCTCACGCTCTCTCTCTAAGAACTTAATTAATAACTGCATCAGTCTGCTATCAGTGGCTCTAGGTTCCGTTACGATGTCTAAAATTAAGTTTTGGAATTAACAACGGAAGCTGCGATTGAGATGCTTCAGAAATTAGTCCTAGATGCAAGAGAGTGTTAAGGGCAAAAACACGATGAATGTCTTGAAATACAACATCTGAACAAATTTTTGAGGTGTGGTAAGTAACCGTAGTACAAGTGGAATAATTGATTCCAGTCCGTTGAATTATTAGAAAATAATGCACACCCAGGGTGTAACGAACACTCCGCGTTGCGTCTTTGATTTGTTAACATCATGCAGTTCCAGTTCTATTTTAAAAATCAAATTCCAAATTAGAACAGGTCCTATTTTAATTTTTTTTAACTAGTTTTTATAAAGCAGTAGGTGAAAAGTTCTGAAGTGCTCAACTATTGGAGACTTCACTATCCCATAAGGCCAAGGAAGAGGATTTGCGAATGGTAGTGAAGCAACGCAAATCACACTGTAGGCCACATGACACGTACGTCTAAATTTCTAACTACACAAAACAAGCTGTTTTAATGGTCGAGGTAAGTTTCAAACCAAATGTAGCACTATACCGTTTTCAATTTAAGATGCAGCGACAGCATGACCCAAAAGCCAAGTGCTGCTAATGTTGCTTTAATTTCTGATTGATCATAATAGACCACACAGCCTTTTTCATTCTACGTGTTTCCTTAACGGTTTGTTTTAGACTGGTTTTAGTCAGGTAAACAACAAAGAGCAATTTCTCAAATCTGTGGAAAAATGTGGCTGGTTTGCAACATGATCCAGTTCGCCTGGTCGAGCACTGGCCAAGATTTTGCTCTGGCTCTAGAACGCAAACCTGGGTGGAAAAGAGCTAAGAAACTGCATGCAAACAGGACCATGAACACTTTGTGATTGTACTCACCAGTTAGAGTAGAGAAGATCAAAGTAAAACTGAGCGAGGTAATCATATGCAGTATTTATCCAATGAATCAGAAACATCTGAAATAACA